AACGTCAGCAAAAATACAATTTGGTCCCAGCACTTGCCCCCTCTTCTTCTTCCTCTTCCGTAGATGATAAGCACGATATAAGAAGTACCTTATTTTGATGTTTTGCAACCCTGTCAATAAAAACGAGCTCATTCTCGCCTTTCCACAGTTCTTCCTAGGACTATTTCGATTCTAACGTGCAGCAAATTATGGCTTGAAGTAGAGACTGAGCTGCGCAATTTCGTCTTGCCGGTGCAGCGCCTACTTTTCACTTCAAGGTGGTCTGAAGGTTGGCAATCATAGTGACGTTCAACCCGGGTAGAAATGGGGTCCGTAGATGACTGATCGTGAGTCCAGCACTACGATTTAAACATAAGGGTTCGATGCATAAGTGTGAAGATATTTTATGAGCCAGGCAGACAATTGACACTAATTCTAGACTAGAAACGAGGGAAATCACCGAGCAAATGGTCAATTCCAACTCATTCCTAATTCAAAGTTCAGTCGGTAGGGAACGCTGTTTCCAAATATGAAACAAAATAATTGCACTGGAGTAATTAGATGACAAATCACCAAGCAAGGTAGCTGTGCCCTAACAATGTGCTATTTTTTCCTTTATTTCTACGTTAACGGCTTTTACACGTTACTTGATCAGGGCAAGGCCTATCACTTTGCTAAAGGCCAGGATTAAGACTTTTTGCATTTGTCTAACTCGGCTTCGTCTGTTTTGCATAACGCTTGTCATTTCTTCCTACTTTCTTGTTGCTGATCAACTTAGTAACGTCACCTGCTTATCCCAGAGTCTGAAAAAATGCAAATATAATGACGCAGGGCAATTAAATTCTGTGGAGCATCCTCGAAACAGAGTGCAACCGGAGAGCCGCGGTCCTAAAAAATTATTCCGCGCCGGACTTGAACGTTTTGACCAGGGCCTATGTGCCACCTCAGGCTCTACCGGCTTGCGCGTTGCCTTTCGACACGCCCAGAAATTAAAGAGAGTACGTAGCGCGCAAAGGCGAGGTCGTGAGACCGGATGACGCACGCCATTCTGTCGTCTCACCTACGAAGTTGTGACATGCGTGGCCAGAGACCGAAGATGACCGGTGATGAGTCGAAAGCATGTGCGTACGCACGCGCGCGGAGGACAATGCATGAAGCCGGTAGACAAGCTATGCGCCTCTCTCCGATGTTGTAAGCTGCACACTTTCCTTGTCTCTGACATGGTGTGACACGCACACGCGAATAACTTCGCATTTGAGCAACTGCAAAGCACCGCGGCCGCTAAGGAAACGCCTAGGGGGCGGTGGTCAGAGAAGCACAGCCACAGTCAAAGTCTTGTTTAAGTGGTAACAATGTGGAAACCCAAATCTGCCCCCCTTTATTCCTCCCTCGTATGGCTTTTTCTAATGGGGAAATGAGGTTTGTGAATTCAAGTAAAGCACTGTTATGGCGGAATTTGTGCACAAAGCAAATTGGGGGCAATCTGAGACAATGTGCGCCGACTGAAATCCCTCTGGCTATGAGGCAGAACCATGGTTGGGCAAAGAAGGCCCCAGTAATTGTAGTGTGGCGCCCATATATCAGGTTACAGGACTCAATCCCCCCGGGTGTGCCTTTTGGTTAACTCTCGGGCCCCATCAGCAGCGGCACTGTGGCAATGAAGATGGAATAGCATTTTTGGCTTATTATTCAGGTCAGGTTTATTAAGGGAAATGTAGACAAATGCCTTTGAACTCCCTGTTGGTACAGAACAGCTATGAACTGCATTGGTTCGGCAGAACACTGAAAAGGAGTGGCGATGCCAGTAATAGGAGCTGGGCAAAAGGAGCAGACAGAGAAACACGACCCTACATTTGCAAATCCTGCGGCTTGGACGGACGTTCTGTCGGTTAAAAGTCCAAAATTCCAAATACTGAACCAAGGGCCTGTTGTTACTGACCTTAATTTAGGGTCATCTGGCTCAAGAATGCAGTATCTGGAAGAGGAGACCAAATGGGACTTGACGCGTCATCTTTTAGTTATCTCTTGTCCGTGCAACGTTGCTGTGAAATATTGAGTCTCTCACAGACGGCAATGTATACGTATACACAAGCCAGGCGTTTTGCTGTTCCGTATTGGTGGATTCCATACGAGCGGTAAATTTAGGCGAGTAATATCGACTCAGGTGTTATTAAATTCATGGCACCAGGCAGGGCGTTTGTAGCTTAGCGGTTAGAGCGTTGGCTTCCGGTAAAGGCCTTCTCTACCACGTGGGTTCAAATCCCGCCAAACGCCTCAATTATTTCACAATTGGGTCAACTCAAACACGACCCAGCTAGCGTGTAGCAAAGCTCTCAACTCCAACTCTGTCCACAGGCTATGGCGAGAAGCATGCTGATTTAAGATGCCCTCCGTACAAGTTTTTTTTGACGCTGGCCACGTCTGTGGCATCACTGCTTGCAGCCTTCACCTTGCCAGGCGAATTCTTTCGGGTAAAGTTGT